GTCATCTATTCATTGATTGACACTGTAGAGTGGAACTGTTTTTGTTGTGTTTACTTTGTGTATGTTAGCATTACTCAATTTTCCCTTTTCCAGGGCAGTAATTTTTCTATCCAAGCATTTGCATGTTACATGTGGTAAGTAGGTAGGTGTCCCTAATTTTACTGGGGTTGTTTCTGCTGCTCTTCATAGACAAACATAATATATTGGGGTGGCTGGGATTAAATCAAATATTTTCAGGCCCAGAGCATTGTGTACAGCCCTGAGGAGTCACCACTGTGCTCTCATTTCTCCATTACTGTCACTTTTGTTCTGTTCCAGAATTGCTCTATTTACTTTTTTAAATGGGAAATAATAGAAGGCAAATGTATTCACATTGTTAGGCTCACTTCTTAAACATTTAGATTACAGTGAGTACCTATAACATAATTCATTGTTCTTGACCTGGTTTGGCCCTAGCCATCAGTTGCTAGTCCTGACTAGATGTTGGAATTACAGGATGTTATGGAATGTGCTGCACTCTGGTCATCTATCCAGCTCTCTTTGGTTTGCGTCTGAGTTGGCCCCCAGAGATTCATGCATTTGGGGGCTGTGCCATCCTAAGATCTCAGGCTTAATCAACAGGTTAATCCCTTGATGGATTTGTAATGTGACAGCACTTTTGAGAAGTCGGGCCTATGGGGAAAGTGGGGTCTGCCCTGGAAAAATGAACCTTCTTCTTGACTCCATTCTACCTCTACTTCCTGGCCACCGTGAGGTAAACAGTTCTACTCCACCCTGCCTTTCCTCTCATGATTTGCCTTACCACAGGCCCACAAACAGTGGAACCAGCTGAACATGAACTCAGACCATGAGCAAAAGTAGTCTCCTTTAAAGTGTTTCTTTTGTGTGTCTGTCAGGGAGATGGGAGAACTAATATGTGGCTCCAGTTACCTTTTTTAGAGGAGTTTAGCAGCCAAAAATATTTGTAAACATTCGACTTTGTTGCTAATGCAATGGGTGCTGAGTACACATGAATAATAGTAGTTGCATAATAATAAACACAGCAACTCTGGCATTGATATGTAAGATGATACAACACACAAGTTCAAACTTGCAGAAGACAAGCATAAGACCTGTGTGTTAGTTGCTTTTCCATTACTGTGCAGAAACCATGACCAAAGCAACTTATAAAAGGAAGAGTTTAATGAGACTTAACCATTTCAGAGTGCTAGTGTCCATGACCATCACAGCAGAGAGCATGGCAGAATACACAGTGCTGGAGCAGGAGCTGAGAGCTTACATGCTTATCCACAAGGAGGAGGCAGAGAGAGCCAGCTGGGAATGGTGTGGGCTTTTGAAATTTCAAAGCCCTCCCCCAGAAACACACCTTCTCCAACAAGGCCACGCCTCCTCATCCTTTTCAAACAGTTCCACCAATCAGGGACCAAGCATTCAAATATAGGAGCCTTGGGGGTCCGTTTTCATTCAAACCGCCACAGCCTGTGTGTTTGGAAAATAGAAGCCTAAAGTGGGTTAGTTCATAGCAAATGACCCATCTGAAGGTTCAGTTTGCACTTAACCTCCAGACCTCCTGTTCCCTAGTGAGACAGCAGAAACAAACTGGAAATCCAGAATTAACTCTCTCGCTTCTTTCTGTAGTGCTAGCCTTCAAACCCAGGGCCTCACCCTTGCTAAGCAAGGGCTGTACCAGCCTTTTAATGTGTGTCCCAGCCTTTTAATGTATGGGTAAACTTGTCTCTCCCAATACTTCCTTTCTCCCCTGTCCCTTTTCCTCCCTCTACCTCCTGTGTCATTTTATTCTTTCTTTACAGCATTGTCAGTCAAATAAAACCATCTTTAGCAATTTTTAAAAAGTATTTAAAGGGGCCTTTTAAGACAACTATTTGTAGTGATTTCATGTTACTTTTATTTTGAAATTATGATGTCAATGAATAAAGATTTCATTTTGATATTAAATTATTAACGTAATTTTAAAATTATTTCTTTTATATTTTGAGATTATAATTACATCATTTTCTCCTTCCCTTCCCCCTTCCAAACCCTTCTATGTACCCCTCCTTGTTAATTTTCAAATTTATGACCTCTTTTTTTCATTAATTGTTGTTGCATATATGTGTTCCTAAATACATAAATGCAGTCTACTCAGTCTATATGTTACTAGGTATGTGTGTTTTCAGGGGCTGACCATTTAGTATTGGATAACCAATTAGATGCTCTGCCCTGAGGAAGACTTTTTCCCCACTCTGGGCATTCCTTAGTTGCCTACAGTCCTTTGGGTAGGTTTGAGGCCTTGTTAACTTTCCACCATCCACTTTGGCATGTCTGTTGTTACGGTTCTTGTTCAGCTCAGGTTTAGGCAGTCATGTTGGTGAGATTTTATGGTTGTAACTTCTGACATTTCTAGGAGACAAAATCTTAAACAAACTCCCTGATCCTCTGCCTTTTATACTCTTATTACCCCGTCTCCCTCAATGTTCCCAAGCCTTGGTTGTTCAAGTTGTGTTATAGACTTATCCATTGGGACTGTGTGTCCCGCATTCTGTTTGTAGATTAGTTGTGATTTTCTGTAATGGTCTGTGTTTGTGTGTGGGGGTGAGGTCTACACCTATCTGAGTATAAAGACAAATATTTAGAGTGTAGTGATACTGTTGGGCCTGATTGATCAGTACTTGGACCTTTTCCTGAAGCTCATTCTGTGGTCACAGACTTTCATCCTTTGGGGTGGTAGAGTTATTGGGATGCATTTCACATTTCATATAGTTACAGTTCAGTCATTCAAAGTGTCCAGGGTAGCTACAGAATTGTACTCCTGTCACTCAGATGGTGTCATATTTGAAACATTTTCATCAAGTCAGAAACAAACCAGTCCTAGGCTACCATGAATTTACTTTTTTCTCTGCATTCTTATATTTGCCTATTCTGTGGGTGTCTTATAAATAGATCAATACAGTTTCTAGCTTCTTATGTCTGGCTGCTTTCACAACATGTTTTCAAGGTTCAGCATGTTGTAGTATGAATTAATGCCCTCCCGTTTTTAGTTCTTTGAGAATTTTATACAGTGTTTTTTTTTTTATCATTTCACCTCTTCTCCCATTCCTCCTAGAGCCACATCCCTTCCCTACCAACCCAACTCCATGTGGGATGCTTCTTGGTGAGGGCTGAGAGATGCACTAGTATCTAGGTATAATGATGTCATTAGGAATCAGATTGTTATTATGTCCATTTAGCAGAATAATTGTGGTAGATTCTCCCCAAGAGTATTTTACTCCTTTTTATTGCCTAGTAATATTTCAGTGAATGGATAAACTGCATTCTGTTTGTCCATTAATGCAGTTTTAAGTTCCCATGTTTTAGCTGTTGCACATAAGGCTATTTGTATACATAGGTTTCATGTGGACTTCTGTTTCAGTTTCTCTAGGGTATATATCTAGGAGTAGCATTGGGACAAATTGTAATTTTGATTTAATATTTTGAGAAGTAGCCAATTTCAAAACAACTGTGTCAGTTTTCATTTCTATCAGTATTTTGCAGTGCTTTTCTTCGTATCATTCTCAACACTTGACATTTATGATCTGACTGATTATAGACAGGTTGTGTGTGAAGTGTTATACCATTCCTGATGGATGGGGTTGAGTATCTAAGCATGTGCTTACGACACATCTGCATGTCATCTTAAAGAAATACTTATGTAGGGTCTTTGCCAGTATTTTAAATGTTTTTTAATTAAATTTATTTATGTTTGGTTTTTACAAACAGTTTCTCTGTATAGCCTTGGCTGTCCTGGAACTCGCTCTGTAGGCCTCAAACTCAGAGATCCACCTGCCTCTGCCTCTCACTGGGATTAAAGGTGTGTGCCGTGCCAAAGTTTTTTTTTTTTTTGTCATCATGTATGTAATGTAAGTAAGCCACATGTATGTGTGGTAACTTGTGGAGGTAGAAGAGAGTGTCAGATCTCTTGGGGTTATAGTTTCAGGGAGTTGCTAGTTGCTGCAGGAGCTCAGATTGATCCTGGGTCCTCTATAAGAACAGAAAATGCTCTTACCTCTGAGCCATCTCTCCTGCCCCCTTTATCCCTTTTAACCACTGTTATTTGTATTGGCCTGCCACTCGTACACTTGATGTTGGAATATTAGGTCATAAACTAAGAAAATTAAAAATCAGGGTTTTTAGGGGCATGGTCAGAAGCTCTTAATTTACCCAAAAACTTAAATTGCATGAGCAGTGTTTTAAATATGTTAAATTTGCACTTGTGAGTTTTGTAGAGAGTGTGGGTTTCTACAAAGCACTTCTCAAGCTTGTGCTTGAGATCGGCCGTACTGGAGGAGCCACAGAGAATGCTTGCATCTCCGTTGAGTTTGCACTTGAGCCGTGTTTAGCAGAGCGGTTGCTACAAGATTTCCCAGGACCTTTCACACAAACATGCTGTCCATCCTTGGAACTTCTGTTCTTCAGTTTCTTTGGCCACTAGCACAAGAATTTGGACGATCCTACTAGTTGTGGGGCTGCATATGTAATGTTGTATTGTGTGTGACACATCATGTTACAGGTAGTTTATTACTTGATGATCTGACTAGGGTTGTCAGTCCGTTAGACTTCTTACAGCTCTCCTTAATATTAAGCTTTTCTTGCTAGTTAGAACCAACAGACTTTGAAGTTGCTTTGCTGCTTGGAGATGTGGGTTTGTAAAAATAATAGAAAATATTTTCAGTTAATTTTGCCTTTAAGCTGTAATAGCATAACTTTGAAATTGTATTTTAAGTGCCATTTGGAAAAGGAAAGCAGTACTCAGAGAATTACACTATTAGGTAGATTCTCTGTCTTTCTAGTTGAGCATTACTCCAGAAAATTAGTGGCTATAACCAAAGAGGAACTAGCAGGTTTGAAAATTGCTAAGTATTGTGCTGCACTTAGTATTACCTGTGCTTTGTATTTACGTAGTTTCTTTGTTATGCTTTAGAGATAAAAGCTAATTCTGTAAAACATTTTTGGTTTGTTTATAGATTGGTCAAAGAAAAAGTGATGTATGAGAAAGAGGCAAAGCAACAAGAAGAAAAGATTGAAAAAATGAAGGCTGAAGATGGTGAAAACTACGCCATTAAGAAGCAGGTAAAGCTGACACTCAGAGCACCTGTGCTAATGTCTTCATCACATCTCTCAGAGATGGGACTGTTCTGTGTGTGGTGAGACTGAGGCAGGAGGATCACTACAAGTTGGAGCCCAGCCTATGGACTAGAAGCCCTTTCGGACAAACACAAACAAAAAGATAAAAAGCCAAACAAAGATAGAAAGCAGGAACTTTCGTGAAGGAACTGCAGCAAGTCACACAGCACTCTGTTTGAATACTAGCGTTCTATTGTTCTCTGCCGTGAAGCTCTGCAGCATGTCCAGTTCTAAGTGTTAAATCTGAAATTAGATAATATAATGAGTATAATTACATCTTTAAATTTAGAAATAACTCCCCAAGTGATGTGAAGACCACCAAGATAAAATATGTATTTCTTACAGTAGTTAGGAAATTGCCACAGACCAAGTGTCCATCTACAATGAATGGCTAAGGGAAGTGTGCTATATGCACACAATGGAATAGTGTTCAGCTTAAATTAGGGTGAAGTTATGAATTTGCAGGAAACAGATGGAGCTGGTGGGATTCGGGTAGTTTACACACAAGGGGTCCCTTGCTTTCAAGTCGCTGATACTGTAATTGTCCTTGTTACCTCTTTATTCTTCAGTGCTTCCAGCTGCCATTTGGTGTTGCGTTTCGTAATTTGTGCCTACTCACTTGGTCTTGCCAGAAGTGCACCAACTTTTTCTTTCAATCTACCTTTTGTTCTGCTGACTTTTCTCTGTACTTTTCTTATTTGTAATTTTATCAATTTGGAGTTTTATAATCATTTCTTTTCTTTTGATTGTTTTGAGTACATTTGCTGCCTTTTTCTTTTGGTTTTTGATTTGTTTTTTTGTTTGTTTGTTTGCTTGGTTTTTTTGTTTCTTTTGACAAGGACTCTGTGTAGCCTTGGCTGTCCTGGAACTCCATAATTAGACCAGAATGGCCTCCTGCCCCTATTCTTTTAAGTGCTGATATTAAGTGCTGCCTCCTTTTCTGTGTTTTTGAGGTAAGAACATCGATTTAACAGCACTTCACCTTGGTGATGGGAGCATTCGGGACTGTGAATATTCCTCTCAGCGCTAGTATAGGTTTGGCTGCATCTCACAGCAGTTTTTGGCCTCTGCTTCCCAAGTGCTGGGGTAAAAGAGTGTTTGTTCCGGCACTGCCTGCTGACTAATTGATCAGGGAAGACTCTCTTGCAGTTCCTAACCCTGGTTGTGTTGGATCACAGTTAGAGCATGTACGCTGTATTATTGATTGCATGACTTCTAGGTTCCCATTTTATTTTCATTGTTGTTTGACTTAGGATGTGGTCTGCTGCAGTGTTTCACAGGCGTTAAATGCATTTGCATTCTCTTACAGGGTGTTCTATTTCCTTGCTAAGATATGTTATTTGGTTTTGGTATTGAAATTTATTTTATATCCTGACTGCAGTTCCCCCTCCCTTCACTCTTCCCAATATAGAGCTTGGGGTCTGTTTTTGTTTTTGTTTTGTTTTTGTTCAGCAGCATAGCTTACAGTGCTGCTGTCTAGTTCTTTCCTAGCTTTGCTCATTTTTGTCTAGTATTTCCATGTTCATTTGTCTGTATCTGTTCGGTTTATACATAGGATCACATGTTACTTTGATGTGTTTGTAATGATATGATGTTGTGACATGCCTTTTGTCCCTAACAGCCTTTCTTGACATGCAGCAGTTTGCTCTATAATATTAATGTAGTCACATCTGCTGTTGTTCATTTTCAATATCCCACATATTTTTCTACACACTTATTTATTTATTTTGCATCTGGAGTGAATTTCTTATAGATGGCATGTGGTTGGGTACAGTTAGTCTATCTCCATGCTTTTTGGGGGTGAGTGCAGGGGGAGGCATCGCAAGTTTGAGACAGGGTTCCTCTGTAGCTTTGGAAGCTACCCTGGAATTCGCTCAGTATTCTATCTCCATGCTTTAGATGGTATGTTTGCACCATTTACATTCATGCCAGTTGTTATATCAGAGTTTACATGGCCCTGCCCCTTCCCCTCAGTGGATTCAGCAATAACCAGACAAACACAAGTCAAATGGATTCCTAATTCACCATGTGAGCATGGTAACATCCTGCCACTATGTAAAAGAGAAGACATAGCGAATGTTTCAGTAATTTCTAAAGCTCCATCTGACAAACTAATAGGAGTATCATTGGCTCCAGAGACAGCTGACATGATTGTATAGGCTACTATAGCTTATAGGTATAGCCCATCGCTGGTTACAAGATCTGGCTCACAGAGAAGCCAGAAACCTTAGCCTAATCAGTTACCAAACAGCTTATCATTGTTTCATAGAATTCTTCCTGTGACAAAAAATGAATTCTGTCAATTGAAATTTTTCTTTTATGTTTTTATTTTTTATCATAAAAGAAATAATTAATCAACTTTTAGGTTCTACAGTCTATAGATTGTTATAAACGAAGCCTTGCCTATTCTTCCCCAACTTCCATTTTACCAAAATAAAGACCCAAAAAAGGTTTCTTTCCTCAATATATGTTTTTATTTAAATTAGAAACATGCATGCTTCACATATCAATCCTAGCTCCCTCTCCCACTCCTCCTCCCTTGTCCCTCCACCAGCCCCACATCCAATCCTCACATCATTCCCCAGGAAGGGTGAGGCCCTCCTTGGGGGGATCTCCAGAGTCTATCATTTCATCCAGGGCAGGACCTAGGCCCTTCCCCATGTGTCCAGGCTGAAAGAGCATTGCTCCATGTGGAATGGGCTCCCAGAGTTCATTCAGTTCATTTGTATGCCATGGTGAACACTGATCTACTACCCAAGGCCCCAAAGATTTCTGAGGCCTCCTCACTGACACTACATTCATGGAGTCTGGATCAGTTGCCTGTTGGCCTCTCAGGCGTCAGTTTGGGATTCAAGAGCTCCCCCTTGTCCAGGCAGCTATCTTTGTGGGTTTCATCATCATGGTCTTGACCCCTTTGCTCTTCACTCCCCCATTTCTGTCACTGGATTCCAAGAGTTCAGTTCAGTGTTTAGCTGTGGGTATCTGTCTCTGCTTCCATCAGTCACTGGATGAAGGTTCTAGGGTGGCATATAAGGTAGTCATCAACCTTATCATCAGGGAGGGGCTATTGCTTAGTTTGCCAGTTGGTGTTATCCTTATAAATCTCTGGAAATATCAGTAGTGTCAGCTCTCTCCTCAAACCTACAGTGACTCTATCTATTATGGTATCCCTTATCCTGCTCTCCTTCTTACCTCGACTCAACCTTCCTGCTCCCCCATGCCTTCTTCTCCTCTCCTCTTATCCCCCTCTCTTTTTCCTGGTTCCCTCTCCCCTCCCCTCATGTTCCCAATCTGCTCAGGAGATCTTGTCTCATTCCATTTCTCTGGGGCATCATGCATATCTCTTGGGAACCTCCCTGTTTCCCAGACTCACTGGCACTGGGATTGTAAGCTGGCACTCCCCTAATCCATGTCTAAAATTCATATATGAGTGAGTACATACCATTTTTGTCTTTTTGTGACTAGGTTACCTCAGGATGGTTTCTTCTAATGCCATCCATTTGCCTGCAAATTTCAAGATTCCATTGTTTTCTTCCTCTGAGTAATACTCCATTGTGTAAATGTACCACATTTTCTCTATCCACTCTTCAGTTGAGAGGCATCTAGGTTGCTTCCAGGTTCTGGCTACTACAAATAATGCTGCTATGAACATAGTGGAACAGACTTCCTTATTGTATGAATGTGCATCTTTTGAGTATATGCCTAAGAGTAGAATTGCTGGGTTTTGTGGTAGACTGAGACCCATTTTCCTGAGGATTCTCCATACTGATTTCCAAAGTGGCTGTACAAGTTTGCACTCCTACTAGCAATGGACAAGTGTTCCCCTTTCTCCACATCCTCTCCAGCATAAACTGTTATTGATGTTTTTGATTTTAGCCATTCTGACAGGAGTAAGATGATATCTCAGAGAGTTGTTTTGATTTGCATTTCCCTAATGTCTAAGGATGTTGAGCACTTTCTTAGTTGTCTCTCAGCTATTTTAGACTCCTTTATTGAGAATTCTCTATTTAGTTCAGTCCCCCGCTTTTTAATTGGTTCCGTTGGTGTTTTGGAGATGTGTTTCTTGAGTTCTTTCTAAAATTTGGGGATCAGCCCTCTGTCAGATGCGGGGTTATGAATATCTTTTCCCAATCTGTTGGGTGCCTTTTTGTCTTGCTACCTGTGTCCTTTGTCTTACAGAAGCTTCTCAGTTTCAGGAGGTTCCATTTATTAATTGTCGATCTCAGTGTTAGTGCTACTGGTGTTGTGTTCAGGAAGCTGTCTCCTGTACCAATTCATTCAAGAGTACCTCCCACTTTCTCTTCTAACAGGTTCAGTGGGGCTGGATTTATGTTGAGGTCTTTGATCCATTTGGACTTAAGTTTTGTGCATGGCGATAGACATGGATCTATCTGCAGTCTTCTACATGCCAAAATCCAGTTATGCCAGCACCATTTGTTGAAGATGCTATCTTTTTTCCATTGTATAATTTTAGCTTCTTTGTCGAAAATCAGCTGTTCATAGGTTTGCGGATTAATCTCAGGGTGTTCAATTCGATTCCATTGATCTGCCTGTCTATTTTTGTGCCCATACCAAGCTGTTTATGAAAATCCATCAATGTAATCCACCATATAAACAAGCTGAGAAACAAAAATCACATGATCATCTCACTAGATGCTGAAAAAGCCTTTGACAAAATCCAACACCCATTCATGATAAAGGTCTTGGAGAGATCTGGGATAACAGGAACATACCTAAACATAATAAAAGCTATATACAGCGAATCAACAGCCAACATCAAACTGAATGGAGAGAAATCAAGGCAATTCCTCTAAAATCAGGAACAAGGCAAGGCTATCCCCTCTCCCCATTCCTCTTCAATATTGTCCTAGAAGTTCTAGCTAGAGCATTAAGACAACAAAAGGATATCAAGGGGATGCAAATTGGAAAGGAAGAGGTCAAACTTTCATTATTTGCAGATGATATGATAGTTTACATAAGTGACCCAAAAAGCTCTACCAGGGAACTCTTACAGCTGATAAATACCTTCAGCAAAGTGACAGGATACAAGATCAACTCAAGAAAATCAGTAGCCCTACTATATACAAACGATAAAAGGCCTGAGAAAGAAATCAGAGAAATATCACCCTTTAAGGTTGCATCACACAAGATAAAATACCTTGGGGTAACACTAACCAAACAAATGAAAGACCTGTATCACAAGAACTTTGAATCTTTAAAGAAAGAAATTAAGGAAGACACCAGAAAATGAAAAGATCTCCCATGCTCTTGGATAGGTAGGATCAATGTAGTAAAAATGGCAATCCTGCCAAAAGCAATCTACAGACTCACTGCTATCTCCATCAAAATCCCAGCACAATTCTTCACACACCTTGAAAGAACAATTCTCAACTTTATATGGAAAAACAAAAAACTCAGGATAGCCAAGACAACCCTGCTCAACAAAGCAACGTCTGGAGGCATCACCATCCCAAAAAAGTTTTAACTTGCTTTAAAGTCAATTTCTTATCAGCAAGGATGGCACTCTATGGTATTCCCCTAAGGTTCCTTCTGTACCCATTGACTGTGCCATGATCCTGGTTTTCTCTCAGATGTAATGCAGTGAGCATTAGAGTGAACCATTTATTCGGGTCTTCTAAAGACGGGACCATTCTAAGAAGACACTTTGAACAAACAACACTCATTTAGTTAAAGGGGGTACTTGGGGATGTCTTCTTTGTATAATCATGACTCAGACACTCTTGTTAGTACTTGGCAGATAAAATCCCAGAAAGTGACACTAAAGTCCCACCCCTGGTCGAGAAGCTGTTCCCAGTGATAGCTGCTGGGACAGAGAACGTTTGTTCTCTTTAATGGACTGACACTTGGTATATCACCCACCGGGCAGGGCAGACTCCATATTCAGGAGTAGTTGGCCAACACAAATTGGACTCCATGGATTTAGTGGCCTTTTTGTTTTTGAAAAAGAAGAAGAACTTGACTAGGTAGTGATTTGGGAAGGGTCAGGGAGGAGTTGGGTAACAGCTGAATATGATAGTGCACTGTATGAAATGCTCAGAGAATTAAAAAAATAATTCCTGGCAGTTATAATCCATTGCTATAAAGGAACTATTTTATTTGTGGACTTGACGCAGGTATGGCTTATAGTACTCAGGGTTTCAGGGTGCTCCTTTGGCATTGAATGTCAAGTCTTCACTTGAGGCAGTGTCATGCTTCATATTTTCATGCTTGTGCTCCTGATTGGACTGGGAAACAGAACCTTCTCTTTGCGTTTTTGTCTCCCCTCTCCTGGCATCATGTAGTCATGCAATCAACCCTTAATGTTCTTGAACCAATTCCATTTAGAAAATGGGGCAGTTGTATAACCTATATTTATATTGCTATATATTATAATTCATCTCTATATTATACCAATATGATATAAATAATTGTTATGGTATATTATTTTTAAGGAATAATGACAAAAATATTACAAGTGTTCAATGCAGTTTTTTATTTTGTTTTTTAATTTCAGCCCACTGTAGGTAAAATCTGCAGGTGTGGAACCTGTGGCTAGGGGGCTGAATGTAGAGGAAACTTAGTGAGTAATCAGGGTAGAATGCAGGGGAATGAACTTTTGCTAGACTAACAGAAGATCTTGGTCTCTACTAATACAAAGAGATAATAAAAGAATAGAAATCATGTTGGATAGTGCTGCTTAAAGTTCATTTCACAACATTAAAGCTTGGGGGGAAATCATAAGTATATATTTTGTCTTGTCATGAGTTTGACCCAATTCTTTGTATTCATCTTATTTAATTCTTGTAAGCTGTTCTGCAGGAATTCCTCAGGAGAAATCCAAGATGTTCCTGTTGCCAATTTTTCACATGGAAGCAAACCAGATACATAAAAATAATTTAGTGGCATTGATTAAGTATATGTTTATCTGAAAGTAAAGTCGTGATCCTATCCTTGAAATTTTAATCTGTGTCTTATTAGCCAAAGCATTCTAAGTTTAGCCATGTGTTTCCACCTAGGAAAGCCATGTGGACAGAAAGCATCTATGGGCAGTGATGGTTTTATTTCAGTGTGAGCTACAACAAGCTGTCAAAGGAAGCATGAAGATTCTGGGACTACTTATGTTTCCATTGTAACTGTAATTGAGTATTATTGACATTAAATTATGTACATTGCTTTATTTCAGCTAGGTAATCTTGGCTAATTTTGTACCCCTTTCTCTGGAAACTTTTGACCAAACGTTTTTTGAGAAAAATATTATCACAATATCTGTCTCTGGGAATTACTGAAAGAAACAAAGATTTTGTACCAACTGAACAAAAAGGCTGAAGTCCAACATCATGACTATTGACTGAGCTTCCTGGTTTTCTTTTGTGTTTTGATGGGTTACAATATAACTTTGAATGGCAAATTTTTACATCCAGAAACATCCCTCAGAATAGGTGTCCCTGTGGTTAATTCTTCAGTGTCTTCATGAAGAATAGGCAAGAAGTTCAGATTCAGAGGGTGCCACATTGGTAATTTGGCTCAAACTGCTGGGAGAATAATCTGTCTCCTAAAATGAAGCACAAGGATAAGTAATAACTTTTTATGCATGATAAGCATCAAAATATGAACCTGCTGGTCTTTGCTTTTCATTTTTCTTACCTCTGTCTTTCAGGGAGTCCCTCCTGCAGTGTGCACACGATGTGATCAATAACTCAATAACTTCTCTCATGCAGTAATTATCTGCCTGTGATATTATCTGAACACTGTTTTCCTTTATTACCCAAAGATGCAGGGGATATTTATATAACCAGCTGATCCCATTTTAGATAAAGGTGCTTTGTGACAGCAGGGGAATCATTTACTTTAAATGGCCTTTTAAATAAGAGCTGAATGAAAAGCTTTGCCAGTTAATTTTCACTTACCGTGAGAAGGTGATTACCAAAAGGGAGAAAAGCCCAAAACTTTTGTGCAAGTTCTGCTTAGAAGTTGTGCTTTGCAAATAATACAATCTAATAAACCCAACTTAAATTAGAGCATTGAGTCATTTAACATAGTCATACTTTTCATTTCCTCTAAATCATTAGTTATATGCTAAGGTATAAAATAAAAACACATTAATTCTGTCATCTCGACATATCTCACAAATGTTCTCATTACAGGCAGAAATCCTGCAAGAGTCCCGGATGATGATCCCAGATTGCCAGCGCCGGTTAGAGGCTGCATATACCGATCTTCAGCAAATATTAGTAAGTAAAGATTCCTTTAGCTTACATTTAAACTATTTTCAACTTAATCTGTGGTAAACAAAAACTCTGAATATTTAATACTACAGTATTTAAAGAAATGTTTTATTCATTTGCCTATGACTTGGTTTCTTCTCTTGTTGTATGATGAAGTACTCTTAGAAAGGTATGTTTTAGCTCAGAGTTCCAGGTTACAGTCGGTCAGAGCACAATAACTTGAGAGAGCTAATTTTGTATTGCATCCATAATCAGGAACAGAATGCAGGGAATGCATGTGTGCTTGTCTCCCCTGCTTGGGATGGTCCAGGATCCAGCCCAAAATCAGGATGGGTCTTCACACATTAGTTAGCATAATCAAGATAATCTCTCATTGTCATATTCAGAGGCTAACATTTATCTAGACAGCCCACACTATTCAGCCTAGAAGCTTGTTCCCTAAGTATTGACAGTACTAACCATTGAACCTTTGAACCAGCATGCTTTAAATATTTAGAGTTTAACTTATGTTTGAGTTATGACTCCAGTAAAAGTTCTTTTCTGTCATGTTTACTTACTTAATTGTTTGAGTCATAATAGCAGGTATACATGGTACCATTTTTGGCCAGAAATAATCTATTTGGTTTTTGTGCATACTTTTTTTTTTAACTCATGAACAGTGAGCCAACTGTTTGAAATTTGATTTAACCCAATGTGTCAAGTTAATTTGGCCCTTATTTAAAAGATGTGGAATTATTTTAGATTCAGACCTAAATGAGTTTGAGAGAAGCCGGGCAAGGTTATAGAGGCAGACCTCTCCTGAAGTCTCCTGAGTGGACGGTGCTCTTCTACTTCCTGTACTAACAGATACTTTGTGAAACAGTGGCTGCTGGCTTTTTAAATGAGCCTAAGTAAAAGTCATCTTATTTCTTTTCTAACGGTTGGACAAATGCATAGTGCTGCTGTCGTAGTTCTACTTTCTGTTGCTGTGATAAAAGCACTCTGACAAAAGCAACTTAAGGGACAAAGAGCTTATTCGGCTCAAATGCCCTGCAGTGAAGGACCGCAAGGAAGGCCGGGAGCAGGATCATATTCCCTAATCTGAACGAAGAGCAGGAAGCAGTGAGCTAGCCTGACAGCTAAAGCCAGCCATCACAACTCTACTTCCTGTGACCGTCTCTACCTTTTGTCCCCAAAGTCAAGTGTTTACCTCCTAATATTCAATTTGGCCACTTTTAAAATTCCTTATTATTTTTAAATTTTCCAGTATTTTAAAAGTCTGAAGACTTGTAACTATGAATTCCTATAAAATAAAAAAAGTTTTATACTTTCAACATAAAGCAGTACAGAGTAGACATTCCTGTTTCATCATGGAGGAACCAGGGCATAACAGGAAGTAAACAGACAGAACTCCAGCAGAGAAAACACCAAATCCTGCAGCTCTTTGTCCTGCATCTGGGACTTGCGATGAAACTGGCTGAGATCCAAAGGTTTGGACCACCCCACCCTCTTCCAGCCCTGCCACCTCAGCACACAGCTCTGTCTGCTCCACACCTGCAGCGCTCCATGGAGGGTGGCCCGTGGTCCTGGTTTGCCTGCCTTCTGGAGTTCCACTGCTTCATCTTCACCTGTATAGATTAGCCTCGCAGGGCCTCTTATCACTGGGACTGCTTCTGTGCCACACAGAGCATGGCCTTAGCTGCTTTCAGTGACCCTCACGCTCAATATCTTGTGACTAAAGTAGATACCACACGGTAGCCAAGTTCTGCTCACAGCCTTTCCCCTTTGGACCACAGGTGTGTCAGCCTCTGTGTGCTGAAGACACAGTTTCCTGGACAGTTGCTTTCCAGTAATGGGGGTGCCTTAGGCTTTCTTCCTGTTAGGGAATTTGTGTCTTCTCAAGATGGCGCCTCTAAGTGGTATGGCTTTTGCCTTCAGGACACTCTTCATCTCCCAGTGCAGCACAAGAGGCTTCTCTATCTATGAAATACCTTCTGCCAGACAGATCTGTCCATTATCTTTACATTTAACTTGGGTTCTCAGAACAGGAGCAAAGGAAAGCCAGATTCTTGGCCATAATGTCACAGGAATGGCCCCTAGCCCAGCTGTTGAGAGTCCTCCTAGCCTCCATAGCCTTACGCTCTGGCCTTCCACATTTCAGTCCATTTCCTCAGCAGTCTAGCCTTCCACACTCCCACTCAAATGCCCGTTAGCCTCTGCTCCAGCGTGGAATGACTTTTCTAGACCAGTGTACCAAACACTTCCACGTTCTTCCCACAGAACAGCTCCATTTGCAACACATGGTCATGTTTATCACAGCAATTGCCCTACCTCTTGGTACCAGTTTCTGCCTTAGTTTTGTTTCTTGTTGCTATGGTAAGATACTGAATAAAAGCAACCAACTTAAGGGACAAACTGGTTATTTGACTTACCATTCCAGGTTCCATCCGATCAAGTGGCAGGAACTTGAAGCAGTAGTCACTTTCCATTCATAGTCAAGACCAAAGATGAATGAGCTAATATTGCCAAGTGATTCTAGACCGAACAATCTAGACAGTTTCCACGAATCATCACACAGCATGGTGGCAAACACCTTTAATCCCAGCACTAGGGAATCGGAGACAGGTGATCTCTGTGAGTTCAAGGACAGCTAGGGCTACATGAGAGCCCCTGTCTCAAAAACAAACTATCACAACTGTCCTAGTTTTGTTTCTGTTGCTGTGATTTTTAAAAAAAAAATTCTGACAGAAAGCTGTTAATTCCACCAGGTAAGAATAAGACCATGTTTTTTTAAATGAATGCCATCTGAATTTTATTATGCTAAAAAATAACTAAAAAACCAACAAACCCATGGAGAGCCTCCAAGGATGCTTAGCACATAGCTTCACCCTTAGGCGTGGCCGAGGTAGGGCTGGCTGCAGGTGTGCATCAAGGCTGTGAGGCGCTCGAAGACCATTTTTTTAACCAAATTTGAAGCAAGCTTTATTAAATACTGGCCAGGAAGATGGACACTGACCAAGTTCATAATCAGGATTTCCAGAGAATGGCTCTGAATTATGTTAGTCAGGAGCTTATAAAGGCAAAACCTGCAAGGCTGTGGACTTCCTGCTGTCATCCGATAAGGGAAAGGGTACACCCTGACGTACTTCCTGCCTATGAACGTCCCACCTGTGTGTGATGAAGCACATCCTGTGCGGTTAGCCAGCCAGCCTTGTTTACAGAAGACAAAACGAGTGCCCTGTAATCTTACATGAGCAACACCCCACACACACACATTCCAGGAAGTTATCTGTCCTTGGGCATGGGGGGTTTACAGGTTAGAGGCATGTTTGTTTTGTGGCTCTCTTAAGCACAGTAATAACTTTAGCCCTCCCAAAGCAACTTCAGGAAGAAAGGGTTTAATTTTGCTCACATTCCAGATTATAGTTCATTATTGTGGGGAAGTCCAAGTTGCAGAAGCTTGAAGCAACTAGTATTGTCACATCCACGGTCAACAGCAGAGAAAAATATACACATGCTCTGTGCTCAGCCCAGTTTCTCTACCCTTCTGTAATCCAGGACCTCCATCTTAGAGCTTGGTGTTGCCCACAGTGTGCTGGGTAACTGAAGACCAGCCGCCACAGACGTGCTCACTGCCAGCCTCATGGACGCGCTTCCTCATGATACTCTTAGGGGAGTCTGGACTGTGGCAGGTTGACAGTGAAAGCTACTTGTCACAATGATTAAGTCATTGTTGCTGTTTGATAATTGATGAGCTCTAACATTTCCTTTACTAATCTTACTTTTAATGTTTGTATTTCCCATGTTGACGTTAATTATTAGATACATAGCTATTTTTTAACTGACTCATAATTGAAAGTAAAGTATTTTCACTATGCTCGTATGTAATCTAGGAAAGAGAAGGAAATTTATGCTTACCACCAAATTCTGACTAAACTATAGGGAAAAAAAGTTGTTTGTTTGTTTGTTTGTTTTTTAATGTGCTAATTTTGCCTGCAATTCTATTTAAGGATCAGGAGCCCCTATGACCCAGCAATTTTTTAAAAAGAGTTACTGTTTTTAATTATGAGTGTGTTTATGGGAAAATACACATGACTGAAAATGGGTGCCACTGAAGCCAGAGGCACCCTACCCCCTTGGAGCTGTGAGACACCGATATGGGTTTGATTGGCCTCTGGCCTTTGGAAGAGCAGCAAGTGCTCTTAACTCACTTCACTATCTCTCCAGCCCTGTAGTCAACTTCTTAAAGGCAGATGATTCTTCACAATTAAAAGAGGTGCTGGTTTTTATTCTATTTTAGTAGAAGAGAGGTAAAGTAAGAAATGATCATTGTTAAAATGTTACATAGAAATACTATTTGTGTTTCTTAGCAGTTTCAATGCTTTGTTTCTCATGAATCCAATAGCTAATAATATAATACAAATAGTTAGAAAATGATTTGTTAAGATAGTTGTGCTTGAAGTTGAATTAAACTAATACCTATGTTCTCAGTAAATTTATGTTTACAGAAAGAAAACTGTTTAAGGTACAGTTTTCAGGATTAAGAAATTGTTATCAATTATCTGAATTCAGCTTTTTGCCTTGTTCATGTTAAATACACTCATTATTACCTTGTCTATGTCATAACTATCCACATTTTTTAATTGACCTCACACAAACTGTTGTCCTTCACTTCATTTAAGAATCAAGGGCTGCATGAGGGACACAAGTTCAGTTCTCAACACCATCTAGTGGCTTACAACCAACTGTAACTCCAGTTCCAGGGCATCCAGCCCCCACCCTTCTGGGCAGCAGGCATGCATATGGCGCACAGACATACATTCAGGGAAGACACTCATACATATAAAATACAAACAATATTTTTTAAATCAAAATCTCGTGTGAAAATCTAGGCTTAGTCTGTTGCTATAATAATTTAGTGAAAGTTTATATTAGTGTGTAAGCAAACTTAATCCTTAAATATCAAAAAATTAAGCATGTTAATATTTTGTTTGATGTCGATATTATATACTCATTAATAAGCAGACAATCTACTTTTCTAATTCAATTGTATTCAACTTGTGTGACTTGGCATTGGGAATAATTAGAGTATTATTTTATGCTGGATGTTACCATATAATTAACACATTAGCAAAACATTGTTATTTACTTTTAATGCATTGTGAATAATCTTTTTGTAGGATAATGTTGGCCAGATAGGAATGATTTTAAATTTATGAGCTCTTTATTTAATTACTTAATGCTAATAATTTTAGGTGACCATGTTCATAATTATAACATGAAAAATACATAGTATGAGAATATATGAAAAAAATAAGCTAACCTCATTTCTTTTCCAGTAACTAAGGAACAGAACTGTGATACATTTAGAAATCCCAGAACCCTTTAATTCTTGGGTTACTTACTAGTCTGTAATATGAAGTTTTGAAAGTCCTAAAGACCAAGCCTAATTTTGTTACTTTTCATTTCAGGAAAGTGAAAAGGACTTGGAAGAAGCCGAGGAGTATAAAGAAGCACGTGTAGTTCTGGGTTCGGTCAAGTTAGAAGCCTGAAATTTTTCCCTACAGGGTGTTTTTGCATTAAATCCTGGGGTCCATTCTACAATTCATTATTTTTGGCCACTGCTGTGTTTAGTAATATGAAAACGTGGTTCTTTTTATGCAGTTGCATTTATTTTTCTTTGCATAACTTAATGTGTCAAATAAATGAGTTCAACTAATAAAATTGTTTATTTCATATTTTATAAAAATTTCAATTGGCCACTTAGGTAAATGCCTGTTCATTAAATCAGGTAGGTGTTTTTGACAGATGTCAGTTTCTATCTGAAGTTTAGATATTTTGTGATCATATGTTGGTTTAAAAATAAAGTACATCAGCAAGAGAGCACTAGGAGGAGCCCTGTCTGTGTAGCTGTGGGAAGCACCTGTCCCTGCTGCACAGACTTCCCAGTGAGGCCTTTTGGCAGAGAGGCATCCACACCCCTGTAGGTAACCCTTCACTTACTGTCTGTAAGTGATCCCAATAAACTCATGGGTTTCCCAGATTGAATGTTGTGGAATCATGCCTTGGTATGTTGTTGGGCCCTTATGACCAAGGGTGCTCTTTGTTTCTTCTCCCACGGAAGGAATTTTAGCAACATGATGGCAAGCCAAACATGGACTAGATTGTTTACTTCCTGTCCTTTTTTGGTGTGGTACCTGGGGCCTCAGACAGGGTAGGTTAGTGCTCTGCTACCAAGTTAATCTCCTGCTGGATGTTTTTCCCTTTTATTCTGAGATAGGCTCTTGTTAAGTTGCTAGGTTGCCTTGAGCTCACAGGGGAGTCTACAAAGGCCTTGAACTTAATACCCACCGGTCTCAATCTCCTAACTTGCTGGACTTACAGACCATCACGACCCAACTGTCTTCATTGACTGGAAACAAGTATCATTTTGTTACAAAGTATTTTTCCTGCAGAATTATAAGCCTATTACCAGATCAGTTGTTTCTTTCTAAAATATACAACTCAGTTTCTTATATGCCTAGAACATGTGGGTAAATTGATTGGCCCCAGCTGAACATGGCATTGATAAAGTGAACCAAAACAGTATAAATAACATATGAAGTGTAAACCCAAAAGTGCCTCCAATGGCAGTGTGTTCTTCTGGTTTTCAGGACTGTGAATGGACACTAGAAATAGCACATTTACCAGAACTCTCAGGATTGGAGAAGAGAAAATATTGTCCTTTGCTGTCACAGAATACAGAATGTACCCTCCTCCTATCTTAGCCTTGGCTATCGGGAGACCAGTCCTAGCAAGTTGTGTTTTCCCCCAGTGATCTGGCAGGAGCTTTCTGGTTGAGCTTTGGATCATTTGTATTTCTGAATGAGTGTTAATTTCTCAATAACTAGATCGTTCTTCCTTTAGCCTGTGTTGCACCATGCAAACAGATCCTTAGGAAGAAATAGAACTGTAGGAGGGGAATAGTACACTGGAAATAAGCACATGTTTATTTTATAAGTAATGAAAACTAGTGGACACAGTGTTTGTCTAACATTTCTCACCTTTCCGGACAGTAACATTCAAAGGTTAATGTTTTACAACTGCCTGTACCTGTGCACTGAATCTCTTCCAAATTGAGCAGTCAAATCTGTTTAATTTAAATCGCTTTGCAAACTTCATCACATCAGTTGGCTTTAAAAAAAAACCTATCAAATTTTATCAGGACATATCCTATAGCTGGTTATCATTTATATCTTATTATTAGGTCATTTAGATAAACCAAGGACAGATTAATCCTTTCTTTTACGGCGAAATGAGGATTTTAAAAGTTGGTGGAAATCTGACTGCGGGAGAGAAGCAAGAGTTGTGAAGCTTTGGCATTAAAGGGTTAATCAGAAGGTGTAGTCCTTGAAGCCCCGTTGAGTGTGTTAACTGGAAATAAATTGAATGGTTCAGAAAGAGTGTACTGCGAGACAAATTAGAAGTCGTAGTGTAATTGAAACTCAAGAGTGCTTCTTACAGTCCACATCGTAGTCCACTACCACCTTCCTGCCCTGTGAGAAGTGGTTCTCACTGGACACTCAGACAGCTAGCAGTATCTCATGGTAGACCGATGCCTGCCTTCTTACTGCTGCCTTCTAATCGGCAGTTGACATGATGCTTCCATATTTTTCAAGGGAAATATTTTCAGTGTGTCACAAGATTTAGATATTTTTAATGCACAGACTTCTTTTAAATTAATACAGAATTTTTCAATTAAAAAAAGGATAAAGAATGAAAAACATGATTTGCAGAGGAAGAAATGCAAATGGATAGTTGAGTTTCTAATGTTCTACTCTAATCAGGTTCAAATGAATAATGAATACCAAGTTGTTGGTCTGGTGTGTTTAACTCTCAGCTGGTAAGTCGAGATAAGGGCAAGAAATGAGAAATAAATATTGAAAAAGTTGCATTGTTCTCATTATAAGCAGTTGATAAGTACCAGGAAAAACATGAGGGCTACCTGTACAATAAGAAATTAAATTAAATCAGGCACTTAAAAAATTATACAACAGTGAAGGCTTGGATTGTGTCATGTTGAAGACCCAATCTCCAGAATTTGACAATGGAGCTGTGTTGGCAAATGGGATTCTTGTAGAAAGAGATGAAATCATTGATTAACCCAATGACTGATAACCTAGTAGTGAGAAGACAGGAGAAGGCCATATGGTGGCAGAAATGAAATGTGTGTCCCTGTGAGCTGTGGGCACCAGGGTGATGCAGAAATAAAGAGAGGTGGGTATGGAGTATTCTTCCGTGGTGTGTGTGGAACCTGACCATTCTGATTTCTCACAGAAGTGTGAAATCATCTGTCCTCACACCCAGACTGGTTCTTCCAGCAGTCCTAGAATGCGGGTGTAGACCCAAAATCTCTCGTGTGGCAGCAATAACCAATCAGAAAAGAACTGAGCTCCAAAGAGTCAAATACACGTTCAAAATAACTTGTACTATGTATGGAGAAAAAAATACTGTGGAAAAATATTATTTCTTATGTCAGTCTAAATTTAATAAATAATATACAACAGAATTTGGAGCAAGAAAGAGTTTGAGGAAATGACTGAAATCCAATTAACGGATTTTTGTTGTTCAAGTAAGAAGCCATAGCTGGGAGCAAATATGAACAAAATTCATTACACTTGCCTAGTGTGTGCAAAGATCTGGGTTTGATCCGTAGTGCTTGCATACACAAATGCATGCACACACACTTCCTAAAAAGAAAATGGGGTCAGGAGCAAATTACACATAATATATATGGAAATATATTCACATTTACATGTACATGCATGAATTTAGTGTATGATAAAAGCTATTTCAGACCTCTGGAGGAAAAGTAGGTCAGCCAATGACTTGCTAGCAATGTGGAAAACAAAATACAGGGGTAAGAATTTACCTCTGACATCAAAATGGATTTAAGTTGGTCAAAGGTTTCAATATGAAAAAGAAAAAGATAAAAAGCTAGAGAAGATTTTGATTAAGAAATTTTCAGTTGGTACAGTGAGTAAAAAGAAGATGGAACTTAATTCACTGTTAGGAGAATCCCATGTTAGTTCATGCGCTTTGATTCCTTTGGATGTCTTCATAGATAGTAATGTCCTTTTTGCATAAAGACAGTTTTACTTCTTGTGCTAGTTAAGTTTTTTTTAACTTGACACAACTTTGGGAAGAAAAAACTCAATTGAGAAAATGCCTCCATCAGGGTCTGTAGAGCATTTTCTTGAATAATGAATGGTTGGCGGCAGAGGTCCAGCTCACTGAGTGGTGCCACCTCAAGGTGTGGTCTTGGGTGCTCTAAGAAAGCAAGCTAGAGAAGTCAGGGGCAACAAGCATTGTAGCACTCCTCCATAGTCTCTGCTTCAGTTCCTCCCTCAACTTCCTGCCCTGACTTTCTTTTATGGTGGCCTGTGATGTGGAACAGTAAGGTAAAATAAACTCTTTTCTCCCCAAGTTGCGTTTGGTCATGCTGTTTCATCACAGTCATGGAAACCCTAAGACACTTCCTAATCCAGACACCTTCTAATTTCTTGTCTCTTTTCCTTGGCTAGAAGTTCTAATGAGCAGTTATCAGAGGGAGCAACCTTATCTCATTCATCCACAATGGGTGAGCTTCTAGACTTAACGTTAACTTTTTACCGTTTATGATATCAGCTGTAGGACTTTCATGCTTCTTCTTTGTCAAATTCAGGAGGTTTCTGAATATCCTTATTTTAGTGAGAGTATTGGTGTTGGTTTTATCAAATACTTCCTCTGTTCTAATGATATGATCATATAAATTTTCTTTTTCAGTTTGTGGATGAGATTAATTACATTAAATGATTCTTAAATATTGATCCATTCTTGCATATGGTGACAAACCCCATTTGGTCATGGTGACAGGGAATTCTAGGCAAGAAGGAAGGGTCAATGTAGAAGCGGATCTAGTACTATCTGAAACATACAGCTGTCAGTATGCTAGCTTCCTCTGACATAAATGGCATATTTGGTGTTGGGTAGTATCTTTTCTGATGTACAGTGGGTAACTGGCATGTCAGATACCCTCTTTGGGACATATGGATTCAATATTTCAACATCCTAAGACACACACACACACACACACACCATGGTTTGTGATCAGTAACCCCCTTTACAAACCATCTAATCAGTGCTCAGTATGCTGTTTTTGAGTAAACAGACAAGGCTGGAAGTCTCCTGAGTTTTACCTGAAGAGGACTAGCTCAAAGCAGTAAGATAGATCTAAAGAAGGTGAGAGGAATAATTAATCCCCTAATGAAATATGTACCACAAAAGGCAATAGCTCTAGACAACAGTTCCCAGCCTGCCACTGCCCACTTTCTTGATATGTAGTTTAGAAACATAGCTCTCTATCTTCCTCCTCTTTCCATGACCCTTCTGTCAGAGCTCCCCATCTCCAGTCCACTTGTCCGTGTCTTCTTTCCAACTCCAAGGAGTCATCCTTGAGTTCCCTCCTTGAGTACCTCCTTGATACAATGGGTAACAGAGCTGGGGCTCATTATCTGAGCAAGAAGAGTGAGTCTGGGATTTTTACGTTCATTATTCAATGTGACCTTGCAGGCCATCACTGATATACCTCACCCTTCCTCACCCAATCTCCAAAGAACACGACTGGCTTTCCCCCAATCTTCCTAAGTGTGTTGTCATCGAAGGCAACACAAATCTGTGTCCAGTAACTCTAGAACAACT